AAACCAAAACTAGTAAATCTCGCAGATTTATCAATCCCAAAAAGATGGTGTCTCAAAGATCTTTCAAATACTTCTGAAAAATAGAAAGTACCAAGTTTAGAATTTTTCTCATTAGGAAAAAATCTTTACTTTAAAAATCCAGATACATCAACCAGTTTTAATCCAAACCTGGTTTTACCTCCTACAAATATTTTTTATCATCAACAAAATGATGATACAGAGAGTATAATAAGTAATCAATCTTTTTGTACTCCTTATCAAAGTTTTCTTTCAAGTTTTCATAGTATAAATAGTACAAAAGCCCTACGAAAAGTAAATATTATACGCCAATCAGGTAATACTAATAATGCTCAAATCTTTATTTTTGTAGGAGATAATCCATCTCAGCAAGATATAGGTGATAACCAAACCTATTATCATTCTATAAATTCTGTGTTAAATTCACACACTTTTTCAACTAGAAAAACTAGAAATAAAGATACTAAAATGTTTCATTATATAAATAATTATTGTATCTCTACACAAAACGTGCTAGAAATAATTACTTTTGCTAAAAAAGTTCGTTACTATACTTATATAGAAGGATATTTTTATTTTTCAAACTATAAACCATATAGCTGAAATATTTTGATTGACACAGGAGCAACAATCTCTAGTTGTCGACCCAATGCTTTACCTTCAACAAAATGGCTACCTATGAAGCATCTTATAATAATAGTAGGTATCGATGGTAAAGAAATCATGGTTAACCTAAAAGCAAAAAATATTCCTGTTGCCTTAAATGATAAGAGATTTATTATACCTAAAATATTATGTTTTCCTAATATGCATGGAGACATTATGTTAAGACATAATGTTATACATAAATATTTACCATTTTTTGTTTTCCCTGATTATCTTACTTTTACTATTGATAAAAAATCAATAGATGTTCCTCTTTTATCCAAACAAATCATGTTTATGATAATGGTTTTTATCCAGAAATAACACATATTTATGAACTTAAAGCTATTAATGAAAAACATTGGCTTTATAAGATTTTGCAGGAAAACTTTAGTGAAAACCAATTGAAACTTTGGAAGTGAAGTCCCAAATACTGTGAACTTACTCTTCATTCTCCAAAAAAGATTATTAGAGTAAAGCCCATAATCTATACCAAATAGGATATAGATGAATTTGAAATACAAATTTCAGAATTGCTCAACAAAGGTCTGATAGAACCAACTACCAGCCCGCACTTTAGTCCAGCATTTTTGGTAAGAAACCATTCTGAGATTAAATGAGGTAAACCCCATATGGTTATTAATTACAAGAAATTAAACTAAAATCTTGTTTTTGAAGGCTATTTTATCCCTCGTAAAGACGTTTTGATTAATTTAGCAAAAAATACAAAATGTTTTTCTAAATTTGATTGTAAATCAGGCTTTTGGCAAATCATGCTAAATGACATTTCTAAACCTTTAACTACTTTTAGTGCACCAACAGCCCATTACCAATGGACTGTTATACCTTTCGGTTTATGCAACGCCCTTCAAATTTTTTAGCGTTGGATGGATAGTATTTTTAGCAAACATAAACAATTTTACTGTGTTTATATTGATGATATTTTAGTATTTTCAAATACTTTGGATAAGCACAGGAAACACCTGAATCTTATTGCTCAAGAATTTATTCTACATGGTATTATTTTGAGTCATAAAAAGGTTAAACTCGAAAAAACAAAAATTGAATTTCTTAGTCTTAATTTATCTGCAAATGGACTAATATTGCAAGATCACATTATATCAAAGATTAAGGAGTTTTCAGAACAACTGGATAATGTCAAATAGCTACAACAGTTATTAGGTATACTCAATTATGGCAGATAATTTTTGAAAAACCTTTCCAAAAAGAAAAGTTGTCTTTTGCGTAAATTACGAAAAGATAATGATTTTTCTGAACACCTAATGATTTTAATATTATCAAACAGATCAAATCAGAATTAACCACTATACCTAAAGTCTATCTGCCTAAACAAGGTGATTTACTTATTTTAGAGACAGAGGCCAGCGATGAACATTGGGGATGTGTCCTTAAAGTAAAAAATCTTCATAAAAAAGATTAACTGATTTGTGGCTACAATTTTAGAAAATTTAAACCGAATTAAATAAATTAGATTATATTTGAAAAAAAATTATTAGCCATAAAAAATGGTGTATAGCATTTTCACATTTATTTAGCCTCAGAGATCTTTGTTATCAGAACAGATAACCAAGTAGTAAAAAACTTTCTCCAAAACAAAAAGCTTTTTGATAATCCCAAGCTAATTAGGTAGTATAACTTTTTTTGCCAGTATCATTTTCAGATAGAGTTCATCAACAGAGATAAAAACCTTCTTGCAAACTATTTGAGTTGACCACATGGATCAACAAAAACAACTAGTCCATGATACAGGTAAATGGAAAACAATAAAAAAGAAAACAGGTAAAAAACCTTTTTCCTCTTTTTATTTTACTCATTCTTCTTCAAGACCTCTGGTCTCTATAAATCCTAACCCAGGATTTAACTTTTACACTAATCTAACCAAGGATTATATCTCTATCAACAACCACTTCACAGACCTCCTTTCATGAGAATTCAACCAAAATTTTCTTAATTTGCTCAAGATCCAAACAAATGGACTCCTATGAGTTATTCACAAATGGTCTCTTCAGCAGAACAACTACTTGAAAGAACAAAACTCTCTAACCCAGAGATTAAAAATTTTTATAACCCTGGACTTGAATCACAAGTCTACAAATTGTTAAACAATGTTTGGAAATCCCATCTCTCAAAAAACAAATCCAGTTTTTAAAAAGGGATGACCAAATTAGTTAAGTTCTTAGTCAACCAGGCTAAAGAATTTTAGAATTTCAAAGAAATAGCTTTCCAAAGTCTTCTATCAACAAATCTACTAAAACAGCAAGATATTGATTTCTTTGCTTTGGAAGAAAATCAGTACAGTCTTCAAAAAATAAATAATTTTTTGAATCTATGTGAATATTTTGAGAAAGAAAATTATGTTTCCTCTAAGCTAAACAAGCTTAACATAATTTTCCTTTTTGAAAAAGCTACAGTATTCTTATCCAAAGAATTATTCTAACAAATTAATTATTCTATTTTACAATCAACAGAAAACCTGTTGATAGAAAATTTTTTTGATTATTATACTTCTATGTATATGTATAATACTGCTTTTAACGAATATATACCTAAAATCAAATTTCGACTTAATCATGAAACCTTTAATGTAAAAAGCATTGAATTTGGTTTAGTCGGATAAATTACTGTACAAAATTTTCTTTTCACCTTTTAAAAGATTTTTCAGCTTTTATAAAACATCACTTTATTGAATGTATAAAATGATCAAAACATTTTTACTACATTTATTTTACCATATATAATCTTTTGGTACCTTTCAAAGAGAAACATTTTACCAACCTTATCAAATATGGAAATTTGATAGAATATCCGATGGACATTTTTTTCAACCTCTTAATGTACTTGATCCACCAACAGACCATATCGAGTTCTCAGATAGTTTAAACAAAATCATCATCAAATATGCCAATCCAAATAGTTATCATTTTCAAACAAGAACTGATATTATGAAAAAAGTAAAATTCTTTCTCTATCTAGCCACAAAACCAGACTATCCAAAAATAGCTTGCTAGACAGATGGCAGACGTATTTTTGTTATCAAATTTTTTAAACCGTATGACGATCTTGATATACAAAATGCTCCAGATGCAATTAAGCTACTAAAAAAATTATCAAACATGAAAGATCTAGATCATCCGACAAAATTACTATACCAATACCAAAAAGGATGGCAAATATGGAACGAATCACATTTTGGATCTCCTCAATCTCCTCGGTCCCTTAACGCACTAGATGAAGAATTTCATAACTT